CCCCCACCAGCTACGTGGCCCTCCTGGGCCTGCTGCTGCCCGGCTACTCCTACACGGGCGTGGATGGCCCCGTCCACATGGTGAGCGGTGATGTCATGCTGCGTCAACCCCCATCTGTTGCACGGCCCACAAACCCGGGTGCTGCGCGGGATCCACCCACACACACATCCGCCCCTGTGCCGCATCGCCCTACTCCGGCTCCGCCCTGCTCGTTTGCGTATCACAGGCAATGTTGCCGCCGGCCCAACCCCATCATGCTGACCTGTTGTCAGCCCCGCACCACTGCCCCGCCCCTGCCAACCCGCATGAAGGACACCATCACGTAACTCTCTTGAGAGCACACTCACATAACACACACGCACACAAACACTCATACCGAGTGGGCACACACACGCGCATGCACGCACATGCACACATAAACACCAACTCACACACACACACGAACGCACGCGCGCTCGCCCTCCCTCCCTCCACTGCGTCCCAGGCTGAGGAGGTCAATGGCAGTGAGAGGGGCCCCGTCATCGCCATCCTCAACGGCATCGGCATCATGTTTGTGGGGGGCCTCGCCATGATCATCTCCCTGCTCTTCTCAATGAAGGTGGGGGGTGGAGGTGGTGTGCAGGGGAAGGGGGGGTGGGGTTGGGCTAGTTGGTGTTTATGTGTTTTTGAAGGGGTGGGGTGAGCGGGGGACTGGAGGCCATGGGGGCAGTACAGATGATGGGCAGGGACCACATAAGGAGAGGGAGGGGGGCGGTTGGCCTTGGGAAAGCCGCTTGTCACTGGTCGATGTGGGACGGGGAGGGGGGCACGAGGGGTGGGGGCAGACGGGCCGCACGCGCATGCACATGCCCAGCTTCACACATGTGCGATCCCAAACACGGTGTGGGCACGCGCCCAGCAGGCTGCTCACCAACCCCGCGTGCCCTTTCGACCCCTGTCCTACCCCCCACCCACCCCCATAGTCCCTGGAGAGTGTCCTGGACGAGAGCAACGCGTCAGGCGGCAACCCCATCCCCCAGGCACGCGCGCTCGCACGGCCCCTCGGCCGTCTCCCGGCCGCACAGCTCCGCAGCCTCTCTCCCGGCCAGCGGCGCTCCAGGCCGGCATCTGGTCCAGCGGCGAGACGCGCTCTCGTGTGTATGCGCAGTCACGCGATCCCCTCCCCCCCTCCCTCCCCCAAAGACCACGACCCTCATCACCCCCTCAACCCCAAACTCTCCCTCCCTCACTCCAGATCATGTACGACGCCTTCAACGACCGATTCAACAACCCGGCGGCCGGCATAGCTCTCCAGATCATCCCCATCGCGGCCTCGTTCTTCTGTCTGGTGGCCACAACCACCTATGTGTCCCGGTGCGCGGCGCAGCGGCATGCGACGCACCATTACCGCTGTAGGGGCCCCTGCCTTGGCGAGCTGTGCGCCTCCAGCAGTCCTCGGGCACCCCTCCACCGCGCGCTGCGCCCGGCCGCTGACCTGGTCCACCCGCTGCGGAGTCACACCACCCCTGAGTAATCGTCACCCCGTCACCCCCGTCACCACCGTGCAGGATCATGTTCTGTTACTCGCGCGACCGCGCGGTGCCCTTCTCCAGCCTCTGGGTCAGGGTGGACAAGCGCACGCGCACCCCCCAGGCGGCACTCTGGGTGAGCCTCGCGGCCAGGCGGGACAAGAACGGGCGTGGCGCGTGGGCCTGGGGCGGGAGGCACTGGCCCCGTGAGTGGGGCTGCGGCGATCAGAGTGTCGAGCCCGGAGCAGCGGGCTGCGGGGCCGCGGAAACGTGAGCAGCCCCGCCACCGCCGGCCACTCACTCGGCCACGGCTGCCCTCCGGCGCGCCTGCCCTCGCCGCCGCGCCGCGCAGTGCGTGTGCACCCTGGCGCTGATGCTGGGCCTGCCCATGCTGGGATCAGACACTGGTGAGACCCAGCGGGGGGTTTGGGGTGCATGATCCGGGAAGCATGATCTGGGAGGCCGCACCGCCACGCGGCACGTGGAGCTGCACACCTGGGCGCAGGCCAGTCCGCGGGGGCAAAGGGGGGGGTCGCGCCCCTGCCCCGCCGGCGCCGGCCCTCGTCACCCACCGCTCTGTCAACACTGCAGCTGCGGCAACCCCGCACGCCGCGCCTCCCATCCCCCCTCCCATCATGCACACAACGCCGCGCGTCCAATG